ACGAGGCCTGCAGGTCCAATTAAATTTTATTTATTTCTCTAGTCGTGACCGTCTTCCGAAATGTCAGATGCAGCTGAACCAAGTGTGCCGAGCGCAGATATCGCTGCTCTTGCCGATCTCTTCAAAAAGCAGATGGAGGCAGCCAATGAACGAGAGAAGCATCTCGATGCAATTATCACTGGTCTTACTCAACAAAGCCTGTCGCGGCGGAGCGACCCATGCTGCTGTCCTCCGCGTCCCTGTCAGAGTTTGCTGCCTTGCAGGAACTGTGGGAAGACTTTTCTCGGTGCCAGCACCTGACAGCACAGTCAAAGGAAACCAGGGTATCTGCCATCCGTCAGTGCCTTGACGAAGACCTCAGACGTTTTATCAGGGAGGGCACCATTGTCATCGCGACCAATCCTGATGCGTGTGACGTCTTGGAGGCGGTCAAGCAGTTTCTTCGCCGACAAAGAAACCCGATACTTGACCGAATTGAATTTTATAAGCGCACGCAACAGAAAGGGGAATTGTTTGACGGGTTCCACACTTCCCTGAAGGAGTTGTTGAACACGTGTGATTTTGTGGAACACGAGCTCTGTTCTGCCTGTTCGGCACGTGCCTGTTCTACGTGCAAAACTAATCTTGCACGGGTCCACGCGGACATGATGCGAGACCGCATTGTGATCGGTATCCTGGACGACACCACCCGTCACAAACTGTTGTCCACCTCCGACCTGACATTGGAGGCGACAGTCAAGGTGTGTCGTGCAGAAGAGGCAGCCACACAGACCAGCCACCACATCCCTACCGCCGGCCAAGTCAATGCTGCCAGGAAGTCGTCTTATCAGCGCACGAAGTTAGCTTCACAGCCCCCAGTTGAGGCGAAGCACACTTCTGCTCGTGATAAGTGCCGTAACTGCGGACGCACAGCGCACACGAAATCGCCGTGTCCCGCGATCAACAAAGTGTGCCTTAACTGTAATGGAACGGGTCACTTCCGGGCAATGTGCCGCAGGCCTGCCAAGAAGCCGGAAAAGTCGTCCAAGATCGCGCACTTGCGACTCAACCGAGCATCTCTGTTGGACGGCGCAACAGTTTCCGTTGCCACCCAGCTTGTGACCGAGCCAGAGCCCGTTGCTCTTAGTTGGCTCCCGGATACTGGTAGCGACGTTGAAGCCATCGGCACTCAACACCTTGACCAGTTAGGCGGATTTGTCGAGAACCTGCTTGACGACATCGACGATGTTCGTACCGCAGATGGCGCCAGTCTCACCCCTGTTAGCAAGATTTCGGCGACTCTCAGTTGTGGACCAAACCAACACACGTCCACCATTCATGTCTATGATGGTTTGACTGATGCCCTCCTATCCCGTTCATCCTTGCACGCCCTGGGATACTTGCCGTCCGGCTGGCCGAAGCAAATCGCAGCAGTCCAACAGGTAGTCCCACCGGTCGTTCCCGATGCACCTGCGGACAAGGTTGTGTCCAAAGCCACCGACTCAGAGACGATGAGAGCCGAACTTCTAGCTGAATTCGCTGACATCTTTGATGACTCTGTGTTGAAGCCGATGCTTGGTGGACCTATGGAAATTAGAGTGCGAGCTGATGCTAAGCCTGTCGCTGCATATCATGCCCGCCAGATCCCGCATGCGTACCGTGACCAAGTGAAGTCCCAGCTGGATGACATGGTCCGGGATGCCATCATCGAGGAGGTCACCGAACCCAGTGCGTGGTGTCACCCAATTGTCATCGTGGACAAGAAGGGGACAAACGAGAAGAGGCTCACCGTTGATTTCAAAAAGCTCAACGACCAAGTCGAACGCCCTGCTCACCCCGCACCAAGCCATCGTGACGCTGTATCCAGCGTTGGCAACGCAAGATATTTCACCAAGCTAGATGCTCGCCACAGCTATTGGCAAGTTCCTTTGAGCGAGGCCTCCCGTCCGTTGACCACGTTCATGACACCTTGGGGTCGGTACAGGTACCTACGCAACCCACAAGGATTGGTCTCTGCCGGAGACGAGTTTAATCGCCGCACCGACGCCGCGTTCGCTCATATCTCCCAGCTCCAGAAGGTCGTTGATGACTGCCTCGTCTACGATAATGACCTGAACAACCACCGATCTCACGTCCGGGATGTCCTGCTCTGCGCCCGGGAGAATGGCATTACTCTGAGCGCCAAGAAGTTTGTGTTCGGCATGCCAGCCGTGGAGTTCTGTGGTTACCGCATCAGTGCTGACGGCTGGACCGTCGATGATGCCAAGGTCAAAGCTATCAGCCAGTTTCCAGCTCCCAGCAACCGCACTGATCTCCGATCGTTTATGGGTCTGATCAACCAGTGTGGTGAGTTCACCCCGCACCTGTCTGAGCACGCCGCCCCGTTGCGCCCATTGCTCAAGACGTCCAACGAGTTTGTATGGGACTCAGTTCACACAGACGCAGTCAACGCTGCCAAGGCTGAGCTGTTGTCACCATCAACGCTGTCATTCTTCCAACGTGACCAGCCACTCCGCCTAGAGACCGATGCATCTGCTTTGCATGGCCTTGGCTACGTTCTGTGGCAGCTGCAAGATGGCAAGTGGCGCATTCTCCAGTGTGGCAGTCGATTTCTGTCGGATCCAGAATCCCGGTATGCTGTCATCGAACTGGAGCTCCTAGCTGTCGTCTGGGCGGTGAAGAAATGTTCTCTCTACCTCGCCGGTACGTTGTTTGAGCTTGTCACCGACCACCGGCCCTCACACCAATCATCAACTCGTACTCGCTCGATCAGATTGAGAATCCCCGGCTCCAACGCCTGGTCATGAAGCTTCGTCCATACCAGCTGCATGCCACTTGGCGTAAGGGTGCTGACAACGCTTTCGCCGACGCGCTGTCCCGCAATCCAGTGGATGATCCCACCCCTGACGATGAGCTCGGTGAACACCCAGCCCTTCGTACTCCTGCCATACGCGCTTGCATTCGGAAAGACACCGAAGGCCAGATTGCCAATCTCCGATTTGCCGAATTGCAAGAAGCCGCTCGAGCTGACTCGGATTATCAGGCACTCCTCACTACCGTCCGGAATGGATTTCCCGACGACAAACGCGACTTATGTCCTGCTGCCCAGCCGTATTGGACAGTCCGTCATCATCTTACAGTCGACCAGGACCTGGTACTGAAAGGTCCTCGCATTGTGGTCCCGCGTTCCCTCAGGCGTAGTGTGCTTGACGACTTGCATGCTGCTCATCAAGGTCTCAACCGTACCAAGGCTCGTGCTCGCCAGGTGGTGTATTGGCCCCAGCTGTCCAACGACATTGACAATATCGTTCGCAGCTGCGCTGAATGCCGTCACCACGCACCTTCCCAGGTGAAGGAACCTCTGCTGGCAACTGAGGATCGTTGTCCTGCCCTCCCGTTTGAGAGCACCAGCGCGGATCTGTTCGAATGCCTAGGCTACCAGTTCCTGGTATACGTGGACCGCAAGACCGGCTGGCACTGTGTTGCCAAGATAGGACGCACCGCCACCTCCGCTGACGTAGTCCGTGCGTTCCGAGGCTGGTTCGCGGATCTCGGTGTCCCAGCTGTCCTGACGACTGATGGTGGTCCGCAGTTCACAGCGCAGCGTTTTTCCGCCTTCTGTCAGCGTTGGCAAGTCCGCCACGTCAGATCCAGTCCGCATTACCCACAATCGAATGGCCACGCGGAGGCGGCTGTCAAGGCCATCAAATCTCTCGTGTACAAGACCACCACCAACGGAGACATTAATGTCGACGCCTTCCGTCGTGGCTTATTGGAATGGCGTAACACGTTCGACAGTCGTAGCTCCGGTCAGAGCCCAGCGCAGGCCCTGTTTGGCCGCCCCCTGTCGTCATTCGTGCTTGCCCACCGGACCAGTTTTGCCCCAGCGTGGCAAGAAACCGCTGACGAAATCGACAGTCGTGCCTCTGCCCAGTCTGAAGCAGCCAGTCAGCACTACAACCAGTCTTCCCGTTCTCTGCCTGCCCTCCACCTTGGTTGCCCTGTGGATCTACAAGATCCCCGCAGCAAGTTGTGGAACGCCCGCGGTACCATTGTCGCCATTGGGAGCCACCGCGACTACATGGTCAAGCTTCCCAGTGGCCGAATATACTGGCGAAACCGTCGCTTTCTTCGTCCTGTTGTCTTGCCCGTAGCACCTGCACAGCCGATGCCTGCTACCCCCATCACTCAGCCTGCCCCGCCAGTCCGGCGCAGTCAGCGAAGCCGCCAACCCCCGTCTAGGCTGAATATTTCGAACACTCGTGACCAAACTTATGATTAGCTGCCTGTGCGTCTTTCTGTCTCTTTTTGAGCTCAGCTATGTTCGTATTCAGTTATCTCTATCTTCTTTGCCGTCCTTTCTAGTTGGTATTAGATGCCTTGTTGTCATCTCAGAAGGGGCGTGAGATACATGTATGTAAATGTAATTGTGTGTATATTTCTATCTCAGAAGGGACGTGATGTATCATGCTAGCTACTCATGTATTGCGCATGTACTTCAAGTTGTTATCACCAGCATAACGCGTATTGTTACGTTATACGCCTTGCTTCACGTGATTACGTCATGTCTCTATTGGACGCATGCACGCATCCATATTCTGGATTCATGTGTTCTTCTCCTTGCTCTTCTTCTTCACTTGAGAATGTAAATATTTAGTTTCTATTATCTTGTCACCAAACTAGTTCCTGTTGTCTAGTAGTAGTGGTGTGCATGAGAACATAACACTCCCTTTCTTTGGCAATACATGCCCCTTGTTTGCCTATTTCAAAGCTATTTGCAATTCATTGTGGTGAACCTTTCCTAAAAAGAAAGCCATGAGAAACGTTCGAAACAACTGCATGCTGCTCTGTGTCTGCGAATGACTTCGTTCCTATTTTTCCTATCTTTATTGAAGTACAGTCAAACCTCTTTAGAACGAACATCAAGGGACCGATGACATTTTGTTCGCAATAACGGGAGTTCTTCTTGTCCATAATGTTTTACCCAGTGAATACACAGGGTTTTATCCAATACAGTTACGAATACTAGTTCTTCTTAGGCGAACATTTGTCTTATCAGTGTTCTTCCTAACGAGTTTCCACTGTACATGTTACCAATTCAAGGTATACCCAGAGTATAATCCACAGCCTAGACTAGAGGAAATCATATCGATTATGAAGATGGTATTGTGGTGCGACCATTGACAAAGTTATCAACATGTACAATGTCTTGTACATACAATGTTTAAAAAGGCGAAGTGGAAGCAATAATCTTAATAATGCAATGAATAAGACTATATGCGCACTCATATCACAACCATAGCAACGAATAAAGCTAAAGTTCGTGACTAAAGTTTCATCATTCCATTTAGTCACGAATTCCATTGATAATTGTGACAAGAAGACGTTCTGGAATACTTTATTCGTTGCTATGGTTGTGATAATTATGAGTGCGCATATAGTTTTATTCATTGCACTACATACAATGCGTATCTATAAATCACATGCTACCCTATGGGGTCTCGTGCCCATCATGCATTTGCAGTGCAGCTGGCAGTATGCACTGCAAATGCATGCATATGGCTTGCGCCGGGTGGGAGCTCTCCCACTCTTCGAAAAGAACGCACCCTGCATGTCCATTCACACAGTTCCTACACTTGCATATTTCACCGTCCAATGGCAAAAGTCTATGCAAAGGAGGTGGTGTTTGCCAGCCATGGCAAGAAAAGGAAAGACTAGGAAGAAAGAACATAATTATCGGAAGAAAATAACGCATCCACAGGGGTGAAATTTACTACTATGTTGACTATGGGGATTACTCATGTATCACTACCTTTAAACTACAGTACGTTATTGGTCGATTGTAAATTGCGCTGTTTTGTACCTCTTGAATTCGATATACAGTAAAACTCCCCACATCCGGGCAGGTTAGGACCCAGCACTTGGGATGACCCACAACAGGATGTGTGTAGATGGATGTGCCCAGAATTGTCATGCATGAGGAGTACTGTAGGAGTTTGGCGTTCCGTATTGTACAATTCGTTTTCGCAAACCTTCCCCATCTGCACTTATCTTTGATATTTCTGAGCCATCCAAGTTGGGTGGCGTGCTGCTTTGCTGCTTTGAATTGTATTTTGGCCGCTTTGTCAAGTATCTTACTGGTCCCGTCATCATGGTCATCGTCTAGTAACCATCGACATTCTCAACGTTTCCCCGGATAGATTAAAGTAAGGGGATAGTAATTTGATGTTGAGCTACGTGATAAAGAATAGTTTCCAAAAAGATACACTCGGTGGGACAAGGGTGAGGACTGCACGCAAGGCCGTGACTAAATAGTCATGCACGAGGAAATAACACTGAACAGTGCTGGAGAGAGAGAGAGAGAGAGAGAGAGAGAGAGAGAGAGAGAGAGAGAGAAACCTACCTCCACCAGAGTTGGGTGTTGGGTCTATCCTTAGGCCGCGGTCACACCGAGCTCGATTCAGCCGTTCAGCCGAAAAAAGCGCTTGTTTACGTCACTATTACCATGGAAATGGCTGAAAAATGTCCTACAAGCGACTTTCAGCCGTGGCTGACTCTCAGCCGGTTTTTTCCGGCTTGTTTCAGCCACAGCTTGTACAAGCGGCTGAAAGCCGAAATTCAAAAAATAATTTGAGTGCGCTTGGAGCACACCATGTAGCTAGTTGACATGATGAACTGATATTGATGTTCTTTCTTGTGTCCGTGGAACCGTGCTATCCCTGTGCCTTTGGTTTTGACCGTGAGTCTGTCTATCCAACTACACTGTATTCAGTTTGATTTGGATTTTGTCCGACGACCATGGATTTCTGCCGCTGTGCCTCTAGACTGCTGCGTAGATTGTTGGAGCTGTGGTTTGAGGCCAAGACAAGGCACCACACTCACGACCGAATTCATGAAGAAAGCCGGGTACGAAGAAGAGAGTGGATTGCAACTGAGTTGAAGAACGGCAACCGGCGGGGCAGAAAGCTCGACATCAGGAAACACCACCCGAACCATCGCGTCCATGCACACCGAACAAATAAAAAGAGCACGACTTCGCAATTCAGAATCCGGGCTTCCTTTGCTTCTTCATCAAAACTGACACTAGAACAAGTACTGTTGTTGTAGATCGCGAACGTTCTGCTTTCCGGTTTCTTGCAAACATTAGTGTGTTTCGAGATATTCAAATTTTGGCGGGTAAGAAAAACAAGCCATTCAAGCTTTGCACTCAAGTCTGGTGTGACCACGTCACAGGGACCACGCAAGCCAGCTGAGCGCCAGCGATAACAAGCCCAAAGTGGCTTGTTTCGGTGTGACCTGGGCCTTAACCTACAACATTCCGAAGGCTGTTGGTTAGCGCTTTTGAGATGTGTTGGAGCTAGGTGTCAGGTCATCAAATGTCTCCGTACTCTGTCAGTTTTGTGCCTAATTGTTGCATATTCTGACTGTATAGTATCTAGTTACAGTGGTGGAAGGGTACTCTTAACTTTACTCATATCCATAATGTTCCTTTCCTTGCTCTATATTGTTATGACTGTACAATTTTGTTATATTCATCGCCATTATTTAAACTTTGGTCAGAAAAAGGGGATGCGCATTATACTCAGGTGTGCGTTGTACTGCGGCAAATACAATACTCCCTAGACTGATTCGGCGTCGAAGTCACTCCCAGAGTTGGTTTTCCGTATTGGAAACATCATACGGATTGACGCCCAGTCACCGACAGCGGTGGGGTGCAGCAGTGATATTAAAGTCCTTTATAACAGGCTTGAGTCGCGTGCATCGGGCTTCACCGTTTCGGTCAGTGCAACCTCCTGGGTTCTTAAGCAGAGGCGCCGGAAGGTATTTTAGTGTGCCAGTCCCACGGCCAGCCATCTCAAGTACAATTCACTCCAGGGGAAAGGGGCGGCTGAGCCGAAAATGTTGGAAATTTAGAGCCCAGATCAGTGAGTGCATTTATTGATTCACATGGTACTTGGGGTAAAGAGAGGTACGGTCAATACCGTAGTCACCGTAGCGTGTCTGACACCCCTGTAATAATAGAAGATGTGTTCTCTAGTATTGTCATTGACTCAGTTCTTTGCTCCCTACCCTGAATAGCATTTACTTACGGCATCAGCGGACGTTCAGTTACACACCAGGCAAGAGCTGCGAAACAACGGGTGAGTCCTTTTAGACTTTCTGTGAGCATGGCTGCAGGCGTGTGGCCGTGGGCCATCAGCGTCAACCGCAATGAACAACATCTACAACATGAGCAAACACTTCGTTAGCTGACCTATCCTGTAGTGGTCATCCCAGCAGAGACAGACCAACATGAACACGGTCAGTATTCAAGAACAAGTTGTTTTGACCTATCCTGTAGTGGTCATCCCAGCAGAGACAGACCAACATGAACACGGTCAGTATTCAAGAACAAGTTGTTTTGTGAGAAGAAAGGAAGTTCAGATGTTTGTTGGTTAATGAATAGCTAATACATGTGGTGTTGGGTTCCTGCTGGACTCGTGGTCAAAAATACTACTTCGAAGTATATGATTTATTGTGTTCACTGGTTTGAGGGAAAGACGCAAACGGAAAAAAAGTCTGAAGAAAAAAATTGGGTGTCGCCACCAGGACTCGAAGCCGGGACCCTCGCTCGAGGCCAGCGATGATTTATTGTGTTTATTTTTTCCCCTTAAATGATGCTCTTCACTATGTATGACTATGGGCAGGACCAGCCACTTGTATGACGTGTACGATATTGAAGGCCTGGCCATGGTCTTGACATCCTACATGGACGCAGGAGAGAGAGGTTAGTTGCAATGATCAGTGTGTGTTTCTTTCACACTTTGCGGGATTTTGATTGCATGTCGAAAAAAACAACCAGAACATCGTCAACATCAACATCTCTCTGTCTATCTCTCTCTCTCTCTCCCTCTCTCTCTCTCTCTCTCTCTCTCTCTCTCTCTCCCTCTCTTTCTCTCTCTGCTATTGGCGCGCCTGGTTGTGATGAAGCCGAGACCTAAGGTCGGCAGAGCATCCCAGACCACGCCACCACTCCCCTTATTCATGGCTCACACATGACGGGTTTACGTGGCTCTAGTAAAAAAAACAAAAAAACATCATCATCATCAGCCCTTTTGCGTTGGCATCGGCATCAGATTAGCCTACGCTTGGGCCACACCCAATGTTAGACATGATACCAGAAGAAAAAGGGAGAGTAGAGAAGAGGGAAGATTCAAGAACAAAGAAAGGGGCACCAAAGTACTGTGTGGTCTCTTTGCTTTCACCCAGAGCGTTTTGCCAAGGAAGCAGCACTCCTGGTGGACTACAGAATGCTAAAAATCTACCAGACTCATCTCATGGACCATATGGACGACCACCAGGCGAGCATCTTTGGCCAAGCTGGCCTGGACAATGTGCATGGTGTGCTCCACTGGCTGCAGACCCATCACCAATGCCCCACTCTCAACCGCCTCTACCAAGCTCTCGCCAAAGCATGCCAACGCAATGCGGGCGCATTCTTCAACCAGCTAAGGTAAGACAATCCTTCACGGTACAGTCAAGCGTCCTTAGGACGGACACCACGGGACGGACGGTAACGTTATTTGTTCGCAATGACGGGAGTTTTCAGCTTATTGTCCGCAATAACGGGAGTTCTTCTTATCCATATTGTGTAGCCAGTGAATACAGTACCCAGTGATTTATCCAATAGAGCTATGAATACTAGCTCTTCTCTTTTGTCTTATCAGTGTTCTTCTTTTAAAACGAGGTTTCACTGCACGTATGTGCGCATCTCTCCCCGCCACGGCCCATTTTGCTTTTAAAACTGCACCCTACACATTCGCAATGGAGGTGCATTCTTCTCCAAACTAAGGGAGGAGGATCATTCACCGTATGCCCATCTCTCCTCACCCAAGTCTATGTATATGCCCCCTGGATACACCCCCTGGATACGCCCCCTGGATACGCCCCCTGGATCCGCCCCCTGGATACGCCCCCTGGATACACCCCCTGGATACACCCCCTGGATACGCCCCCTGGATACGCCCCCTGGATATGCCCCCTGGATACGCCCCCTGGATATGCCCCCTGGATACGCCCCCTGGATATGCCCCCTGGATACGCCCCCTGGATATGCCCCCTGGATACGCCCCCTGGATAGGCATCGGCGGATTATGCCGGCATAATTTGGTGGTTGAAAATTTGGAGCATAATTTGGCATCATCTCGGAGGTAGGAGCATAACTACATGATTATACCACAGTTCTAGTATATGGCCCAGAATCTGCGAAAACCAGGCTTAGGGTGAAATTTCACAAAATGACTTTTTCCCATTTTCAGCTTCTACTGGGCATGGGCGGTCAGGAAACAAAATATTACAGGTGTGGGTCGACTCATAGTGGTATTAAAAGTATCTCAAACACACCAGGGTATTGTGTTAAAAAATCCAAAAAAAAACACAAAATTGTTATCACAGGAAAGAAATGAAGAGAGATCCACCAGACTGAAGGAAGAGACAAGGATGATTCTTGTTTAGGTGACATGACAAGGTAGGCATGTGGGGGAAGGCTTGTTGTGGCCCCTTGGTGCTGCAGGCTGTAGTGGCCATGCACAGTTCTACATGAATTTTGTTTGCTTCTCACTCAGCACATTCTGGGGCTGAATACATGTAGTATGTTGTGTTTGTAGTATGATGTACTGGCATGCTCTGGCGCTACACACCACAAGGAAACCAGACTCCAGTTGAGATGGCACCTTTTGACGGGTGAATCTAGTACAACTGTTCAGAATCAAGCAAGAACACAGCCTTTCAAACTGTTCCACTATTCATAGTAAGCGCATAGTGTGCTGGCGTGCTGCAGTATCTGCTTGGTGCTGACCAGCAAATATCAGCACGCCGTACAATCCCTTGCAGCTAGCTGTCCAGCGAGGAAAGTCTCGAGTGGGGGCCTCTCGATCTGCTCGCTCATTCGCCTGGCCTTCAGTAGCACTTCATCGCCAAGGACTTCAATTCAAAACAGTTTTTACATTGCGCTTCAAGCCTTTTCCTCGTGAACTTGCTGCAAACGTATGAGCTCTGCTGCGCGTGTTCCCTTTGCGTGAGGCCCAGAAACAGCTAGTATCTCCGTACTTCGATTGGCTGGATCGATGTCGTCCAGGTTCTCCTCGCTCTCGCCATCACGACTCTAACTGGAGACGATTTCTTCACCATTTTCCGCAAGCAGCAGCTAGCGCAGAAATTTCGCCATCCCTGAGTGTAGGAGATGGAATCCGTTCGATCAGCTCAAAAACTCTTTGCTGTGACTAGAGGAGTAGCAGGGAATATTCTACCGGAAGCCCTTTGACTTCCCTGACTGCTGAAACCCTTCCTGCCATGACTGCTACTTCTTCAAACAAGCGAGATTCTCTTCGGTTCCACTTCACTGCACTCGATCGTCCACGCGACACAACCTTTTTACAAAACATCATTTTTCTCAAAATAATGATTTTCACCCTAAGCCTGGTTTTCGCAGATTCTGGGCCATATAGGCTATACAATTGTGTACAATGCACCTGATCAGTGCTGGTGGTCTGCATGGCAAAGGGTTCGAAGGTCATGCAGATAGTGTTTTCAATGAAAAGCAGGGTAGAAATCATGGCAATGCATTATTGTAAGCTCGAACTCGTCTTCTTCAAAGTTCTTTCTCACACTGACACAGCACATGTAGCAGAAGATGCGAGTGAATCAGCCTTCATCAGGTATCCCGGGGCGGACGAGATACATGTACATGTAGTGGCGGGTAGTCCGCAAAACTCGAGCGATCCGTGTACATGTACATGTACATTACATTTGTACATTATGCATGTTACGAAGTCATGACCCGTCTGGATTTTAGCAGCCATGATGATATGACTGCAGGCTACGGATATTGCTCTAAATTGATGTATAGATGATGTTCGGTCATGATGGAAGGAGACGTGGAGCTAGGGAGAGATGAGCTGATTATTCGCAGGGTGAGGCCCAGGGTGACATCGGATGGACGAGTATGATGATTACGAAGACAGTTGAACATGATAATTTTCAAAGGTAACCCAAACTAATTTGGCAATGAAATAATATTTTTACTGAAGTACAAAAGAAATCAAGTAATGAATAGAAGAAGTACTGTTTTCTCTTTTCCATGTTGACCTCTTACATGCATGGACACCTTGCCCTTGGTATGGGGATACACATGTACATGTAATTTCTTGTACTTATGGCCATTTGCAACTTGCAAGTACGAAAAAAGGCACAATTTCCCGAACTTTGAGGCTCCATAAGTACAACAAAGTGAATATATATATATATCCCCGGGTGCCAAAGCATAATATGAGGATCTTACGAGCATAATGCGAGAATCCATGAAAGCATAATTCCTTGATTTCGCGAGCATAATCCGCCGGTGCCTACCCCTGGATGCGCCCCTGGATACGCCCCTGGATACACCCCTGGATCCGCCCCCTGGATACACCCCCTGGATACGCCCCCTGGATGCGCCCTGGATACGCCCCCTGGATACGCCCCCTGGATACGCCCCCTGGATACGCCGTATCAGAGTTCTACAGTAGTCAGTGGTTTACTTTTTGTACATGTGTGTGTGTGTACGAATGTGTATGTGTGTGTTTGTGTGTGTGTGTTTGTGTTTGTGTGTGTGTACGCATGTGTAGGTATGTGTCCATTTTTGGTGTGTGTGTGTGTGTGTGTGTGTACGTGTGTGTGTGTGTGTGTGTGTGTGTGTGTGTGTGTATGTATATGTGTGTGTGTGTGTGTGTGTGTGTGTGTTGTTTGTTTGTTTGTTTAGCTTTATTTTACTTCACCAGAGATGTGTGTGTGCGTGTGCGTGTGCGTGTTTTGATGTGTGCGCGAATGCGTTTGTGCATGTGTATGTGTGTGAATGTGTGTGTTCCCTTGTGTTATTAGCCATCCTGGCCTGGTACATCATAATATATGCGACAAAGCATATGACCGCCCGATTACGTAAGATGCTCATACATACATTTCACCCGCCAAGCGCAACTCATTCTTTAGTTGTGAAGAAAACAATTGTCTACGGCGCTGCCGAGGGACCTTCACTTTAGCCCAGTGATCTTGCAACCCGTGATTGTTTGTTAGACCTGTGACTTTAGCATTGATGATGGTGGTCTTTTTGTCATGCACCAAAGAGATCTCTGTGCAGAAATAGCAGAATGAGTACGTCACTACGTGTTTTCAACCTTAACAAAAGAAGCATACACACAACGCTCAAATTCCACGTGTGCTATTTTTGTGTCTTACTTGATTTATAGGTTTATACGCCGCTCAACTGAGTCCGGTGATGAGTTTGTCGATTCGGAGAGCGGCAGAGGTAGGCGTGTCATCGATTGGGCTACTGTAATGGTATGTACAGTCAACTTTGCGTATACCGACACCCGGCGAGGCATCAGAAAAGCGTCCTTATTCGCAAAGCGTCCTTATACACGAAGTCTCATTATAAGTATTACAGCTAGATGGTACTTTGGGCATGGGAATTCTGTCGTTATTCGCGAATTGTCGTTATATCCGCAGTCGTTATTAGCAAAGTTGACTGTATTGCTTATAACGAGTTAAACCTTCTCAACAAGGTACATGTACATTCCTGTTTGTGATTATGGTCAGGACAGCAATGAGGTACGGCATTGGGTCTGAGATGAGCTTTCTCTCAACACAGTTGCTCTCGAAAAGACGGTTAGTCATTATAGACAAGTGGGGTCTATAATCAGGTGGTCTTTCAGGACAGGTGCTCTCTGAAATTTAATACAGGTATTCTCAGGTGGTCTCTAAGTACAGGTGGTCATTATAGACAAGTGGTCTTGCAAGGCAGGTGGTGTCTCAAGGCAGGTGGTCTCGATATTCAGGTGATCTCTCAAGGCAGGTGGTCTCCAAACACAGGTGGTCTCAAAATACAGGTGGTCTCAAAATACAGGTGGTCTCAAAATACAGGTGGTCACTTATTCCAGTGGTCTCGAAGCACAGGTTTCGCTGCATATATCTTCTGGCAGGTGCTGTACCCATGTGGGCAAAAGTACATACATGTAAGAGTATACAAGAGAGATTGGAAGCTGAGTAGTATGTATAAAGCCGGTTTTGTGGTAGGGTCATCCCCCAGCCCGAAAAAATGGGTTTTTACCCCGAAAATATGGGGTACTATCAATAGTACCCCATTTTTTCGGGCTGGGGATGACCCTACCAAAAAAACCGGCTTTATACATAGTACTAAGCTGTGTCGCAACTCTGCGTTTTACGTATCATCAGGCAACTGATGTATAGTCACTGTTATCTACTTATGATGTACACATTCTCTGTGATTCTGTGCATGCAGTCGTTTCAGGCGATGTCGGCAGTTCGGTTCCGTGGGAATCCTGTTACGGCGTGGCGCTAGCGCGTCCCGTCAACGGCCAACCGCCAGTACACGGCAACCACGCCCGGACGCCCAGTGTTCATGCCGTGTTTGACAAGGTGTGCGCAGCCAGCAGCAGTGCAGTTAGAGACTACACACCAACACTACGGCGAGTAGCCGACAGATGGCCAGCGACGACCTCGCTCACATCACCCTATGACTATCCAAAGCCGCCACGCCAAGCACAGTTATCAGCTGGCAATCACATGACTCGGTTTCAGCCATCTCCCTCCCATGGCACCGGGCATCGATCCGAGATGCGGCCTTGCACTGGTCCTCCACCTATCACTAGCACACACGCTGCTTCGGATAGCAGAGCATGGCATGATGAGCGGGCGGGCGGACCCATCAGAGTGCGTAAGCGCTATTGGCAAAGGTGAAGGCGAAGCAATCTCCATCGTCGTGGCAATTCACTTGGATTAATATGACTTGTAAATTCGTATTCTTCTCTACTCTCAATTTTGAGTACAAATACTTTTAAAATTATGTTATCATAAGGGCATGGTCGTTCTCTTTTTTCATTGATTCCTGATGATGGGCCTTGCCCGAAAATTTGAACTAATGTATATCAATTGCAGTGTAGCCTAGAGACCGTTAGAGAGAGTGTGTACAAGGTGTGTGTACAGAATGTATGGATTCAAGTATTGGCTACAGTGGAGTCTCCGAACCTTGAGAAAAGTGATTCCGTGTTCATAATAATAACTTTTATTTTTATTGTGATTCATCTGAAATTTCACCACAACGCTCATGCATATAGCCGGCGGTGTTTAGTGTTGCCCCTCTCTCTCTGTCTCTCTGTCTCTCTCTCTCTCTCTGTCTCTCTCTCTCTCTCTCTCTCTCTCTCTCTCTCTCTCTCTCTCTCTCTCTCTCTCTCTCTCTCTCTCTCTCTCTCTCTCTCTCTCCTCCCTCCCTCCCTCCCTCCCTCCCTCCCTCCCTCCCTCCCTCTCTCTCTCTCTCTCTCTCTCTCTCTCTCTCTCTCTCTCTCTCTCTCTCTCTCTCTCTCTCTCTCTCTCTCTCTCTCTCTCTCTCTCTCTCTCTCTCTCTCTCTCTCTCTCTCTCTCTCGCTTTCTCTATCTCTCTCCCTCCCTCCCCTCCCTCCCTCCCTCCCTCCCTCCCTCCCTCCCTCCCTCCCTCCTCCTCTCTCTCTCTCTCTCTCTCTCTCTCTCTCTCTCTCTCTCTCTCTCTCTCTCTCTCTCTCTCTCTCTCTCTCTCTCTCTCTCTCTCTCTCTCTCTCTCTCTCTCTCTCTCTCTCTCTCTCTCTCTCTCTCTCTCTCTCTCTCTCTCTCTCTCTCTCTCTCTCTCTCTCTCTCTCTCTCTCTCTCTCTCTCTCTCTCTCTCTCTCTCTCTCTCTCTCGTCTCTCTCTCTGTCTCTCTCTCTCTCTCTCTCTCTCTCTCCTCTCTCTCTCTCTCTCTCTCTCTCTCTCTCTCTCTGTCTCTCTGTCTCTCTCTCTCTGTCTCTCTCTCTCTCTGTCTCTCTCTCTCTCTCTCTCTCTCTCTCTCTCTCTCTCTCTCTCTCTCTCTCTCTCTCTCTCTCTCTCTCTCTCTCTCTCTCTCTCTCTCTCTCTCTCTCTCTCTCTCTCTCTCTCTCTCTCTCTCTCTCTCTCTCTCTCTCTCTCTCTCTCTGTCTCTCTCTCTCTCTCTCTCTCTCTCTCTCTCTCTCTCTCTCTCTCTCTCTCTCTCTCTCTCTCTCTCTCTCTCTCTCTCTCTCTCTCTCTCTCTGTCTCCTCTCCATCGCTTTGACGAACAAACGGATATTCTATATCCTTCCGAAGTAGCTCAGTCACTTCGCTCAATCAGATCCAACAGTCATGTTGTCTACATATTACGACTCGGGACAGTCAATATGCACTACTGAAAGAGAAAATTCGACCAAAGAACAAGCTTCACAGTTCTCAGAACATAATTTCTTCCCTCACATCTTCAACACTACAGAGGAGGTCATGGTCGGAGCTGCATAATACAGCAACACAGCACGACCTTTCGAACAATAGAATATTCGAATGTTACAGCCTGCATTCGAGTATTCTTCCTGGTGTCGGTATTCTAGAATATTCTGAGTATGCGAATATTCCTTTGCATCACGAGAAGCACGTAAACACAACTGTTAAAAAAGTCCTGGCTAACACACACCCGGCAGCAGCAAAACACACACACTGTCTGGACAAAGAAATACACATGCCAACTCCACCAATCAGTCCAATCCTGAACAAATTCACGCAGAAATGCATGAAGGGCAGCTTCAACGGAGCGCAACATGTGCGCGAAATAATTATGTGACTTTACAAAGACGGTATTAAAATGGGGTCATTTGGAAAAATATAAAAATAAGCAGCATGCTACGCAGGCCAACAAACGTGGACAAGAAAGCTGGAGATTGATAGGGCTCTGGAGCGCGAATGTGAGCGTGTGTTTGTTGGGCAACTATGCTGACGTCACCAGCTGCTGTATTTCACTCTCGTCTAGCTGCCGCTGGTAGTAGAGACCTGGGCATGGGAACACACATGCATGTGCGCGCACGCACACACACACACACACACACACACACACACACACACACACACGCACACACACCAAATCATACAGCATTGGATAAGAGATGAGAAGGGTCATCAGGCACATGCAATCAACATGTACATGCATGTGTGACTGAACTCCAGCGGCGATGAATGAAACCCCCACCTTGCCTCATCGTTGGCGATGTGTTATGTATGGAGCCGTAAAATGGTGTACTGTGGGCAATGACTTGTCACTCGACGTACTCATAGCAACTCACTACAGCACATACGATTACGCCATTCACACCTCACTATTACGTCATTCACTCCTCACGATTTCGTCATTCACACCTCACTATTACGTCATTCACACCTCTATCCATCTTGCGAGGACTCAGTTTGTTGCTGAAAGTAATTGTCACTAGTACACCATGCATCCACATGGATAAGTTGAAGCAAATCGCATACACTACAGCATTACCAACTTACGGAAAGTGAATAGCGTTCCGTAACTCCAGAAGATGGCCAGGAAGTACCCCACCACAATAGGACAGGTAATGAGCTGCACAAGGCCGAACCAGAATGTGATGCAGAGGATCTTCCCCATGCTGTCTCCCTTCATCACTGTGTTGCCGCATGGCAAGAAGAAGCAACTGAGCATCGTACCTGCACCGGTCGCAACGCCACAGCACAGGAGACAGACACGACAGTGGCAACGTCAGCTACGGGCGAGGAAACGACACGTGCTCTGCACGATTTTAAAATTCGTAGTGCAGAGATTACCGAAGGATGCATCCAGTGTGCAGCTGACAGTGCTCAACACCGCGGAGGCAGAGCGTAATGCACACCGAACAACAAGAGCAAGCAAGGCTAGCTTGTTGGCTAGTTCGTGTTGCCGGATGGTTGTGTAAGCATGCACCTCTGAGAGTAGCGACGAACCAGCCTTGCTTGCCCTTGTTATTCAAACTATGTAGTCCAGAGATTATTAAAATTAATACGGTTGGGAATTTGGGCCAGTTGTTCATGTTGTTGTCGTCGTCGTCGTCATCGTCGTCGTTGTTGTTGTTGTTGTTGCTGTTGTTGTTGTTGTTGTTGTTGTTGTTGTTGTTGTTGTTGTTGTTGTTGTTGTTGTTGTTGTTGTTGTTGTTGTTGTTGTTGTTGTTGTTGCGTCAACGGCCTTTGTGTCGTGTTGGTGACTGATCAGTTGTTTCACCCCCTCAAATAGATACGGGCAATCATTCACAATCAGCAAATTTTCACCGTACATTCAATTGTTTATTGTGCTCCAATCACATGAGAGCACAGGAAGCCTCATGGCTGTTTCAAAGTTTAAAGTCTAACTTGGTGCACCGTCCGGAATGCACGCTTTGGGGGTACAGTGAAGATCGGATATAACGACCTTGCATATAATGACACATTGAGTTTAGCGACAAAATTCTGCTGCCCAAGTCGTTTAGCAAGTCCTTCCCATACAGTCATTTTAGATCGGGTATAACGACCTCGAAAAACAACGACAGATCGAATTTACTGACACTTTTTCAGTGGTGCCCGAAGACTTGAAAATACATCGAGTAATGTAAAAGCCATAATTATATATTATTATAACGAAGTGCTAATTCTAACGAGTTAACGAGGAGAAATCTGTTGAGAATGCGTGAGAATCGTTACCTTTCGTAAACGTAAATCAGTCAATTTTGGGAAATCGTTATAATTGCGCCTCGTTAGAATAATGGCTTTTACAGTGTTACGACTTTCATACACTTCAGCTTCTATCAGGCGAACTAGCTCGCATGGAACATTGCTGTGTCACGTGCGCGGACAGTGTTGTGCACGGTACACTGTAGCAGAAGTACGATGTACATGCCGTCGCATTGCAGCGGTGTAGTTGCCGTGCATGACTTTTGGCTTGAACTATGCGTGCAAGACACATGAACATGCGCATCTGTGATCCATACGCATCGTACTATGTGCATGCACATCTGCAATACATTTCTGTCATTTTGATATACATGTACATATTGCATACTAAATGTGAAGATCGGGTTAAGTGACAGGTCGACTATAGTGACATTATGTTTTCTCCCGAAGGAGTGTCGTTATAGCCAATCTCCACTGTATTGTGACTCCACTAAAATCGGGTGACTCCACTGAATTCAGTTGGCCCTACTGAACCCAGGTTACTAAAGAAGCGAAGACCGCTACAGCTGCAGGTTAGAGATACAGCATTGTGGCCGGGATGCTACAACCCGCTTACCGATTCCGGGAATGACGCAGTTGATGCTCAGGAAGAGGATGACGGGACAGATGTGGAATGCCGGAATGTAACGCAGGTACTTGACCGTTCTTTCCTGGTTTCGCTCATAGTCCAGGCCTAAATTGAATCCCGGCAATTGCTGCTGCTGCTGGTACACAACTGAACAAAGCACAAGCACACAAACAGACCCACGTGACCCACGCTGTGCTACGTATGATGAAATGCACAAGACGCTGATTTCACGGGACAAGGGGCTTTGTCCAGAAATCAAGTTCGCTAAATGGCGATTGGGAAGTGTTTTTGCTGATTTTTTTGTCAAAGACATCTTTTTAGGATAACGAAGCCTTCGTAGTGAAGACGGTTGTGGTGGTGGTGGTGAGGGTGGTGGTGGTGAGGGCGGTGGTGGTGAGGGTGGTGGTGGTGAGGGTGGTGGTGGTGAGGGTGGTGGTGGTGAGGGTGGTGGTGAGGGTGGTGGTGGTGAGGGTGGTGGTGGTGAGGGTGGTGGTGGTGAGGGTGGTGGTGGTGAGGGTGGTGGTGGTGAGGGTGGTGGTGGTGAGGGTGGTGGTGGTGAGGGTGGTGGTGGTGAGGGTGGTGGTGGTGAGGGTGGTGGTGGTGAGGGTGGTGGTGGTGAGGGTGGTGGTGGTGAGGGTGGTGGTGGTGAGGGTGGTGGTCAGTAAAGCTCTGGCAGGATCTCTGTGTGTTGTGGCCGCATGCAGTTGGTAATGTGCAGCTAGGGAATTTGAAAAGATGTCCAATACAGCAGTACAGTCAGACCTCGCTTAACCGCTCACATCCGTTTTCCACAAAAAATATCCGGATAGGCGAGCGAACCGGATAATCGAACACACATACTGTATGTATGCATGACATATGCTGTAAATCGGTAACCAACGATTTTCTTCCGGATGGCGAGGGATCCGGATAAAAGAGGATGGGATAAGCGATGTCTGACTGTATACACTCATGCCTAGGTTATCCGGAGTTCAAAGTTACGGGCACTCCGGTCTGCCGGGCACCCTTCGGACGAGTCTAAGTGGAAATATTAGAGAGGTTCCGCATAACGTAATTACGTTAGTAAAAACGTAGTCGATATACGGAAAGTTTTAAACTGCATGCACATCTGTGTTCCGCCATACGGATTTTTCAAATCACGTAGCTGCCCTTGGCAACTTCGAACGCGGCAGTGCACGACCAGATCGACCTGGGGAAAGAGTCATAAATTTGTACCCCAATTCACTTACGGACCAGCTACGTTATCAGAGCCCTATCTACGTACTCTACGTAGACAACTTTCCGTAAGTGGATTGCAAACTCGCGAATTCACGGGTTTTCCCGCCCCCTTACGCAAAGTTGCTCAACTTTACGTATTGCGGAACCTCTCTATTACCACTCTTCTGGAAATAGTCACGCCATATGCCATATATCTCAGTATGGTTTCTCCCCATCAAGATGTATGTGATTGGGAGTTACGGGCATGCAGTGCCCGGTCCCGGACCACACGGATAAACAGAGTGTGTGTATGCGTGTCGATGCTTACCTGTGACTGGCTGGGCGACGTATGCGGGTGGGTCACCGCCGCCTCCACTTGATGCAGTCGGTTGCGCTGTCGGCAGTTTGGCGCCAGCCGGGTACGCAGGCGGTGCGTCCTTTGAGTCCGACATGGCTTTCCGCGTTGCAGTGAGTGCACCTCAAGTTCTCTGTGAAACGGGGCTCTGTGGTCAGTGCAAAGCTGGCGGTGACCAGTAACACCTGATGCAAGCAATGTACACACCAGTTCCAAGAAAAAAAACACGACTGTGTTACAATCCTTTCCCTGTGCAAATATTATATCTTTTTCGAAGTATACTAATCAAAAGCGATACCTGACCTCGTGAATATACTAGCTCTCAATCACGTTTTTGTGTGTTTTAGACTTTTCGTCTTGAAACTGCGATGGTTCCATCATAGACAACGTGCCTTTCTTCTGCCAAGTTCTCAGCTTCTGTTCTTGCTCTCTATTCTTGTGATTTTCCGTTTCACCTTCACGGTCGCAAATGCACCAAATCTAGGAAGGCAACAGGAATGTGATCTGGCACTTCTTGAACCAAAAGGCAATGAATTGCTCGCGGATTTTCGCAGTGCATCCACCATGTTAATGGGTGCTATAATACGCCCGGGCTTCTCGTGTAAACCATTGCAAACGGGCGTTACCAACATTCAGTATGCATGGCTGTCACGTACCGTGCTGTAAGACCACACAGTTTAACCGGTACGATCGTTCAACTAGTAAATGCATGCATCCATACATCGTCGGCACCAGTTTTGAAGAACAAATCGAACATTTGCTGAGACAAACGTTCACGTTACGATTGTAGCGTGTAATGCATGTTTTGATTCTGGTACACCATCTTATTGTCCGGTATCTATACAACCGATAATTATTGTTCATGGTGATCTTTGAATGGTAAAAAAACTAAAAATGCAGTTTGCTAGATCTTTGTTCGGATATCACTTTAGCAGATAAAATGATAATACACACCCGGTCACTCTGTAGCCGTTATAGATTGCGGTGTACTTGCTGTGTACTTGGTGAGTCCTATCGATTATTGTAACATTGATCCTGCTAACACGCTTTATAATAGCCTCTAGCCTAGGAGCCTAGGAATCACTATTTCTGTGATGTAGTACATGTGCATAGTGCAAAAGGCTAAAAATAAACCACTGGCACTGAGTAATAATTAATTATTTTACTTTCATTGATTGACTCGTTACGTAGCATAGTGCCATTAGTGGGCCTACAAAACACTTACCACCTGCGTGCCTTTTTTGACTGAGTTTCGCTAGCGCTTTCTAGTCCCCCTATACAAACAGGCCCTACACTCGGGTGCTGCTGACGTGAATCCGACTACAACAGCTTCTACTTGCTCGGACACTAGCACTCAAGTAGTCAAGACTGAGCGCAGTGAGTGCGGTGGCGTGCGAGGGAAAGAAACAGATTGCGCCCACGGCCACCGCGCTAGTGCCTAGTATGGGAAGCGGACAAACAGGTGATCTGGAGATACCTACGCTACAGACTGCAGTACCGTAATATCAGTGCTACACCTCACGGGCGTTGTGCCTGATCCCGACTATCTTCTCAGTTGAAGAAAGTAATCATCAGTCTGAAATGAGTGCTGATGGCAACTACCGTCACATTTTATACTTTAGTTAGCTGTAGTTTGTCATGTACTGATGTAGTATGAGCGAGACGACCCAGAAGAAAAACGGAGAGGAGAGCGCGTGACATGTGCTAGGCGCTAGGCAGCTGGGCGAACAGTTACCTTCACTCGTACTCGTGTAGGCTACACTACAGTATGTCAGCCATCTATCTACAAACGGCCTGGGCATGGAGCCTGCTGCCCAGTGCTGGTAGAACGCCAAAGTCTCCAACCCAGGCTAGAACTCAAGCAAATCATCTTGTCACGTCCCATTGCCACTACTAACTAGCGCACTGAGTCTGTGCCACATAACAGTATCAAACTGATTTTCATGGTCGGTTTGACTCCACCATCCATCAATGATCAAGGCATCATTCCATGGGATCCAGGCCAGGTCACTGAGGTCAGCCCTTGTGAAATGACGGTAGAACGTCTGCTATGACCTGTTTGTGTCTTGTGATACCGGTAATGCGATCGAGCGAACCACGTGGTCATTTAATTTTTTATTTTCTCATTAGTTCTTGCTAAACATTTTTTTAAACATTTTTTTCATTTTTCGAAAAGAAAAGATTTCCAACACACTTGCAATATCGATCAACAAGATCCTGTACGAGTACTGTTTGTTCTCAAAATTACTGAACGACTTTAGCAAGTTTGGTGTTTATTATCTCAAGGACGAACAACATTAGTCAGTTGTTCGTCCCGAACTCCTTTCCTTGAGCAAGCTAAGCCAAGCCGTTGATTTGCCAGTTGTCACGCCGTGTTTTCTCGGCATCGTTCGAAATTGCATCAATCCGAGAATGAGAAATCTAGAACTGCTTCGGCCTGTTGTGCACCGCGCTGCGTCTGCACTGGAAAACGTGAGATGTCTGTGTGTAAATCTGGACGTGGGCCACGTTTACTGCGTGAGCGACGAGAAAATCTTCATCCTGCGTCCCGAGACTGGAGAGGTGAGCGTCCCGTGATTCATCTCGGCCAATTATTTTCATCTTCCTAAACTTATTACAGTGCTGCTTATAAGCGATTCAGACTACGGCCGAAATCACGTGTAAACTTGAATTTCCATGGTGATACAGTCGTGTTTCAAAATTTTATGCACGATCCCTGATCAAAAACGACTGAGTCGTAGAAACGTGGTCACAGTTGGCCGTAGTCTGAATCGCCTATTTAATGAAATCCGATCGAGTGAGCCAGCTTGGCGCCTTGCACCAGGTCACAGCCCAGTACTCGCAGGTCTAGGGCAGCACAGCGCCCGGTGCGACTCACGTGATCGGATTTCATTGAACAGCACTGAACATGAACATTAGGCTGTCATCACACCACGGCACAAAGCGCTGCGTCTACGTCCACGTTAGGAGTTTTGGTCGGTTGTCATGATGATCTGTATACGGGGTGAAAACGGGAGCAGAATAAACGGGAAACGTAGACGTGGTAGGGACAGGGGGGGGGTATACGACTTTTTGTATGAACGTGCGTATCTCCCCCCGCCTTTTTCCGAGCAGCCCTGTACTTCGATGTACGTGCGTTCAAATTTCTCCAAAAACATGACTGCGTGTACGCGTCAAGAACTGTGGCTGTCTGATGACACGACCACCCGTTTTGGTTTTTTCACCGTAGACGTAAACGGGAGTCGGAGAACGTAGTGTGATGACGGCCTAGCGGAGGATTACCAAGAGGATTCGCGTTCGTGTTTGCACTCCAAGGAAAGTCGAACTCAGTGACGGAATTCGCGTTATGAGAAGGATTAGGAAACAGAATCCGCCCATGCATGACGTTGACACGTCGTACATTGTGTGCAGACAGTACAGCGTAGTAAATTTATGACTGTCCTGACATGAATCCTCAATTAGCGTTTCGACTATTTTCTGAACGAAAAATGGGAAAGTTCGCCATCCAGTTCGCGAACCGAAAAATGTTCACGAACGCGAATTTCGTCTTGCTAATCCTCCGTATTGTGGGTACAATTCGCCTGTTCATGAGTATTCAGATCTTGCTCAGTCAGAATTTTTAAAAATTGTTTGGCACAAAATGACAATGAGCTCTGGCTGCTCAAGGTCTGGGTCACCACATGACCAAATGAATCAGAATCAGGGTTTTATCGTCTGCCAAGCCACGTTACGTGGCAAGCAGTAGCATTCGGCCTTTCAAACTCACGTGCGTACTTTATATTCTGCTTTCTGTTGGTGCAGGTATTGGCTGAGATTGACTTCACCGGTATTGTTGCGCCCGTCGGCAGTGAATCGCCTCGCAACACCGTGGTGGGTTGTCACTACCTTTCCGAGTTGCGGCAACTAGTGGTGGCGCTCACCGGCGGTGATGTCGTTTCCGTGGAGACGATGATGTGCGACGCGGACGGCTTGCCGGACAGCAAGTGTCTGGACTGCGTGGGATGCATCGACGCTGGAATCGTAGCTATGGCCTGGAGTCCGGATGAGGAAGTAAGATCCGCTCTCCGATATTTATGCCATCTCCCCGTGGCTCGTGCTGTATTTAAAAAAAAAAAGCCACATGACCACTGAAATGCTGTATTTACAAAAAGTCACACGACCACCGAAATGGAATGCTGAGAGCAGTTGTATGTGCAGCTGGACCTGTATTTTTAATTAACGACCACCGCGGCGTGATGCACAGAAGCACTGGCATGTCGCGGCAGGCGGTCTTTCTTCACAGGTCTGAATGTACATGTATGCTCGTTTCATCAGTATGCATGCGGTCAATAGGACGTGGGATGTCTGGTCTCTCAACACGGATGGTATCAGTTGACCTCACAGTATTCCTTCACTGTGTGACTGAATAGTAGTGCTGAGTCCGGTAGCATTTTCTTCGGGTATCGGGTTCGGGTAGCACTGGTACCCTATCTAGTAATGTTTCCATGGTAACACCACAATGCACCCCTTCCCTTACAGTACACGCTGGGTAGACATGCGGAGTATTACATGAATTTGTACACGTGCACTGTACGTGATGTCATCTGCGACTTCGGGTTTTCCGGTACTATCCTGTACCCGTCTTGCCGAAGTCCTCACGGGTAGCACCGGTACCCGACTACCCGTGCACACTACTTCTTACTAGTGTTGGCTTGTTCTACCAATCCCTTCACAGTACTGCCCTTCTGGCTCTGTCACACCACATGCATGCCGCCAGCATGCCCGGGACATAAATAAAATAATAAATTTCACGGTTCGCGTGAGACTCGGCTGGAAGCCCAGGACATAGCTGTTGGGAAATGCCAAGGCTTTTGCTGGTGTCACCAGTATTATTGTTGCATGCCTTAAATATCTCTGTGGCTTACCGGTATAAAACTTGTTGAATCCCCCTCACAAATACACACACGCGTACGTGCACACACACAACACACACACTCATCTTATTCTATATCCTCTCTGCCATACCCTCCTCATCTTGTGTGATCAGGTCGGCGCCTTTCTCACTGCGGACGGCAAGCTGGTACTGATGACGAAGGAGTTTGACTCCCTTGCCGAAGTTGTCGTTGAAGTGTCCGAGTTTGGTGCTTCGGCTTTCGTCAATGTAGGCTGGGGAAAAAAGGAAACCCAGTTCCATGGATCGGAAGGCAAGCAGGCAGCAAAGGTCAGTGCACAAGTTCCCTTGTGGACTTCTCTTGCTATTGTAATGTTCCACCTTCCCCCCGGGGCAATAGTACTTTTTTTTTATGCACACTAGTACATAGTCCTAACACATTGACACTACGTGTGTATGGCAATAGGCCTAGCCAGTCTATGGTGTGTTCTAATGCTCTTGGTATGATCCTGCCAAGCAACCAAGGTAGAAAAGCAAATCAAATGTAACTAAAGTCGGCTGCTCCTACAGGATATTTGTTGATTTTATGTGGGTATGTGTGATTGTGTTGAGAGACTTATCTCCCCCCCCCCCCCTCACTCACTTGTGAGGTATTCGACACTACATGCATTATGGGCGAAATGGTGGCCCGCCGATGCGAATATCTCTGCTTATTATTGTGTTTGTCCACACGTCGGCCGCGAATCCGGCTAACTCTTGCTGTCATTTACACTTTAGCTTTGTCGGTATATAAACCAGTATCCAGAGTTACCCATTACTGTTTTTGATGATCGTGTAGTACTTAAAACTCAGAGTTAAAACACTTTTTTCATCCTCTTAATTTTGTAACTCTTTTTAAAATGTGTGATTGCATGTTTCAGGCGGAGAAGAAGCCGGTTCTTCCCGTACGACCGTGGGATGACCGCACGGCGCGTGTTAGCTGGCGAGGAGATGGCCAGTGCGTGGCTGTTTCGGCCATCTCAGCGGAAAGCGGTAAGACGGTGAACAATATGTACATGTATCTGGACTGTATTGTCGCTAACGGCTTTGTACAGCTTTGCAAGCAAGTCACGTGATATCTAAATTGCAATCAGTAGTATAGAACTCCCGGTGCGAGGTCTACAGAGTTGTTTGAAGAACAGGCATCATGCCATCTGTACCTTTTCTTAACCTGGTCCTAATCACTGTTCTCTCTCTCTCTCTCTCTCTCTCTCTCTCTCTCTCTCTCTCTCTCTCTCTCTCTCTCTCTCTCTCTCTCTCTCTCTCTCTCTCTCTCTCTCTCTCTCTCTCTCTCTCTCTCTCTCTCTCTCTCTCTCTCTCTCTCTCTCTCTCTCTCTCTCTCCACTCTCTTCTTGTTTGTTGTGATGCAGGTGGACGTAAAGTGCGCGTGTTCAGCCGTGAAGGTGTCTTGCTCTCCACCAGTGAAAACGTTGACGGTCTTGAGCAGGCTCTGTCTTGGAAGTAAGTCACGTGCTCAACTAGGCAAAGTCATTGGGTACGCTGAGGACGTAGAGAATTGGAACTTGTGTGGGACTTATGCTATGTTCAAGAGTCGCCTTTGGCCACATGAGCAAAATGAAAAGTACCGCATCGACAGCCAAGCATTGCTTCCTTTCTTTCTGGAACCCGTCCCGTTATTTTCCGTATTTCCCTGAATATATGCCACACTGGTGTTGTATATCTGTAGGCCATCTGGATCACTTATTACATCTAGTCAGAGACTGCCTCATCGACACGACATCGTTTTCTTCGAGAAGAACGGGCTGCGTCACGGAGAATTTACCCTGCCCTTCCAGCGGCTTGAAGTGCGAGTGAGTTATTTTTTCCTTTCTGGAATTACTTTTGGCATCATGTTTTAGCTGTGTCCGGTGGAGCTGTACACGTATGGCCAGCTTCAAAGGCGATAGTAATCTGCCCACAGTTTGGCGGTGCGTATGGCTTCTGTGAATGCATGAATTTAGCAAGAACTGCTTACTAAAGTTTGTCCCATTCATTCTGCAGTACTATAATGTATGTGCATAGTAGCCCATGTTCTACGGCATTTACGAAAGTGAGATGACTACGAAATGTTTCTCAGTTTACGAATATTGTCCGCTCACACAGTAGAACTGATCCGCCGTATTGTGTTCTGTTGTCTGTGCCGTGTAGGTGTGCGAGGTCAGTTGGAATATCGACTCCTCTGTCCTGGCTGTATGGTGTGAGAGCCTGCCTGACGGTGTGGACGAGAAATCTGGAGAGCTGATCAAGCGTTCGCCACACATACAACCTCCCGCCATGTCCTATGGTAGGTTTGTGTTTCTGGATTTAGACGAACAACTGGCAGCGTAATTTATACAAAGAGACCAAGGAACTACAAGTTATGCTATACTGTCCACTAACACCACCAGTTACTAAACAATCAGCTCATGCGATAACATTGCACGGTACTGACGTTCTATAACTGACTGGCTAACAGCTCTAGCACATCTTGGATGCGCACTCCAACAGCCTTCCAACTTAGAAGGTTCTAAGTTATAGAAATAACATAAATTAATCCTTGGCTCTCCATCCGAGTCCATAACTGGCAGCTTGTTTGGTGACAGACCGTGTTTGAGTGTTGGTGTTGAGGGACCCTAATGACTTGTGTGTGACGCCTCTGGTATGTGTTCTATTCCTGGTATGTGTCCATATGTAAATGTGAGTGTGCTTGTGATACGATCACTGTTTTGTGTGCGTTTCTCTATTTCTATGATTCAGTTCAACTGTGGACGTTCAGCAACTATCATTACTACATGAAGCAGCAGTTGTGCTGGAAGAACACTGGTCTGCAGTGTGTGCACTGGGATAGTGACGCAGCGCTGCGCCTACACGTCATGGCGTCCAGTAAGGGAGCTAGTTGATGTGCTTGCCGCTGCTAGCAAGTGAACATGAACATGCAGTGCTATTCAGCCCGAGGCATGTGTGGTGTTGGGCACAGTTGACTCTGTGTTTATCAGCCATCATAGCAGTGCTATTGATTCAGCCTGGCTCTGCTGTACTAAAGACATGTGTGGTGTCGGGCACAGTTGACTCTGTGTTCAGCAGCCATCATAGCAGTGCTATTGATTCAGCCAGGCTCTGCTGTACTAAACGCATGTGGTGTTGGGCCCAGTTGACTCTGTGTTCAGCAGCCATCATAGCATTGCTATTGATTCAGCCCGGCTCTGCTGTGCTTAACGCATGTGGTGTTGGGCCCAGTTGACTCTGTGTTCAGCAGCCATCATAGCAGTGCTATTGATTCAGCCAGGCTCTGCTGTACTAAACGCATGTGATGTTGGGCATAGTTGACTCTGTGTTCAGCAGCCATCATAGCATTGCTATTGATTCAGCCCGGCTCTGCTGTGCTTAACGCATGTGGTGTTGGGCATAGTTGACTCTGTGTTCATCAACCATCATAGCATTGCTATTGATTCAGCCAGGCTCTGCTGTACTAAACGCATGTGGTGTTGGGCACAGTTGACTCTGTGTTCAGCAGCCATCATAGCATTGCTATTGATTCAGCCCGGCTCTGCTGTGCTTAACGCATGTGGTGTTGGGCCCAGTTGACTCTGTGTTCAGCAGCCATCATAGCAGTGCTATTGATTCAGCCAGGCTCTGCTGTACTAAACGCATGTGATGTTGGGCATAGTTGACTCTGTGTTCATCAGCCATCATAGCAGTGCTATTGATTCAGCCAGTCTCTGCTGTACTAAAGGCATGTGGTGTTGGGCACAGTTGACTTTGTGTTCATCAGCCATCTTAGCAGTGCTATTGATTCAGCCAGGCTCTGCTGTACTAAACGCATGTGGTGTTGGGCCCAGTTGACTCTGTGTTCAGCAGCCATCATAGCAGTGCTATTGATTCAGCCAGGCTCTGCTGTACTAAACGCATGTGATGTTGGGCATAGTTGACTCTGTGTTCATCAGCCATCATAGCAGTGCTATTGATTCAGCCCGGCTCTGCTGTACTATGGTACAGGCATGTGTGGTGTTGGGCACAGAGTCTGTGTTCAGCAGCCATCATAGCAGTGCTATTGATTCAGCCCGGCTCTGCTGTACTATGGTACAGGCATGTGTGGTGTTGGGCACAGAGTCTGTGTTCAGCAGCCATCATAGCAGTGCTATTGATTCAGCCCGGCTCTGCTGTACTATGGTACAGGCATGTGTGGTTCAGTGCATAAGTACAAGTACACGGTGACTCTGGCTTTAGCAGCCATCATAATTATATTGCAAAGAGAACCTCTGTATGCTGAAAGATGTTGTTTATACCCAGCTTCAAGTGTAGCCAGGTATCTAACATGCCATGCCTCTGTAGAGTCCTCAATGTCGGTGTGATGACTTTTAGCTGTTGTAGTGGGTAGTGACTAAGCACAGCAGCTGTATGATGCCGGTGGTCCTGAATGGGTCTAACATGGTGTGTTGTGCATGCTCACTGTGGTGCTCAGACGGTGAATACGGTCGCTATGACTGGTTCTGGACTACATCTGTCAGTCCTGGTCTTGTTGCGGAGAACAATGTCACCGTCAGCGTCACCGATGGAGGTAAGCCTGCTATGCACACACCAGTACCCATGGCATCATCATGTCTGAAGTCAGGTTTCATTTGATTCGTTTCCTTTTCTTATAAAATCAACTGTATACTCTCATCACTGTATGCAACACTGCATACCGTATATTCTCTATTATAAGCGCCGCGCTTCTATTTTTTCAACACCCCTCTACCCCGTGCTTATATTGGAGACCGTGCTTATATTTTTTCAACCAATATATCCATACAGAGCAAGAAGAAATACATGCTAGATATCATGCATGCAGCATTGATTTCCACCAAGACCGTGCTGATAATAGAGACTGTGCTTGTAATGTTTCGAAAGGTGCTCACAGTGTGCTAGTATTAGAGACTGTGCTAGTAATGGAGACCTGTGCTTATAATAGAGAATATACGGTATCTTATACTGTTCCCGTTTCATTGAGTGGCGTTATCAAGTACTCCTAACTACTCTGTATCTTACCTAAGAGTATCCATCATGCTGGCATCCATTTATTTTGTTGTGTGTGTTTGTGTGTGTGTGTCTCTCTCTCTCTCTCTCATTATTCTTTTCACCGTACAGGCAAGTTGCTTCAGACTCCATTGCGGCGCGTGGTTGTGCCACCCCCAATGTCACATCGGTCCATCGCTCTGAATAGCCCTGCAGCTCAGTGTGCAGTGTCACCCCCTGCACAGTCGGTACCTACTCGATATGCCGTGCTCCTCAGCAATGGCTGTGTTGGCTTCTACAGCGAGCAGCAACTGGCCCCGATAGAACAGCGCTCCAAGGACAAGTGTGGCTTCCGTGTCGATGACGTGCCTCCCACACATCTCGGGGATGCTAGGTAAGGCATCCGTGTGACGTTTATGCTTGTGAAATGTCCGCCTGGCTGCTTTCATGCAGAAGATCAAGGGTATCTCATGGCTGTGTCCTATCTTTATTGTGCGTTGAACTGTTCCGTGATGTTTGTTGCATCTGGATACCCCGGATGTATGTAAAATATTTGCCAATCACCCACATGCAGGTTAGAAGCACCAGGGGCTGGATCTTGGGCATATGTCAACGTTGAAGCAGGGAAGTGGCACACACCATGCACACACTCATATTCTCAGGTCCTGCCCACCTGTTCGCATGCAGATGTTTCACAGTCGTCAGATTGCAGGGTTCTAGCCAGGGGGGGGGGGGGGGGGGAGGATAGGGGGCGCGGCGCCCTCCTATAGGCCGTCGGAGTCTGACGTCACAGCTTCTTGACAACGCGTAGTTACTTGGCCAAGTGGTGACAAACAAAAGTCGCGTCCCCTGCACTTGTCGTGTATCCAGTGGCAGCAGCATGCAGTGGACACAGCTAGCATCAACGAGGAGCGCGAGAGCGAGACTATTATTTTATTTCAAATAAACTGCTACTTGTCGCCGAGTTTGTAGTTTTCGCTTTGTAGAAAAGGAGAAGTCGTGGCTGATTTTTTTGCTTGGCCACTGCTGTGCCTGTACTGTCGTTCGGCTTTACATGTAGTCGCCAGCCAAGAAGCAATGCTGGGTGTCTCTGTTATTTCTATCGCAGCGATCGCTGATTTCTTTTAGTTCTGAGACCAACCAACTCTGGGCAGAGCTCGTTTCTTTGTCCAGCGGCAAGCGAAAGTCAGAACTCCTATCTCTCAGGTGCTGGTGAACACTCAGCAGGAAAACACTGTACGATGGCTTGAGAGCGAAGGAGAAACTTCTTGAAGTAAAACAAAATTTGAAGTCGCGATCTGCACCAGTGCGCCCCAGTCAAAGTGATGTCGTGACCGTTGGAAACACGACAAGTGCAGGTGACGTGACTTTTGTTTGTCACCACTTGGCCTTTTTATTACGTGTAACTACGAGTTTTCAGGCAGCGTGACGTGGGCACTCCGACAGCCTATTCTGCTAGCGCACCGCCCTACTCATTTTTCGATTTTTGTGGTTTTTCAGTTCACGCAGCGGAAATGCGACCATAAATCGATCATTCCGGGTGCTCTGCGCACCTGTAAGTTGCATTTTTTTTGTGATCGTGCGATAATGGAGGCTATAGTGGAATATGGAAAAAATGGTTGACCAGTTTCCCCCCCCCCCCATATTTTTTCCTGGCTAGAACCCTGGATTGTACTCCTAACCGATTGGAAGTGTTATCAATCTATGCTGATTGTCTGTTGTTGTTGCTGTGTTGTCTACATGTGTATTGTTCTGTAGTATACCTCATTTGCTGGAAGACAGCCATTGGCATGGCCACTGTGTGCGTCAACTCACCTGGCTAGATGCACACACAGTGCTCGTGGCAGCCTGGGATGTAGACACGGTCGAGGACTATCTGCTCTGCCTGCGCGTCGACTCTTGCAACGGCAGTGACGACGGTGGCGCCCGTGTCAAGCTTGTCATGAAGTGAGTCTGAGTGTTCTTGCTGCTGATGCTTGCTGTTGCTGCTGCTACTGGTGCTTGTGCTGCTGTTGCTGCCGCCGCCACCACCGCCGTTACTATTGCTGCTGCTGGTGCTGCTGCTGGTGCTGCTGCTAGTGGTGCTTCTGGTGGTGGTGCTGCCCTTGCTGCTGCTGGTGGTGCTGCCACTGCTGCTGCTGGCTCTGCTGCTGCCACTGCTGCTGCTGCTGGTGCTGCTGCTGCTGCTGGTGCTGCTGCTGCTGCTGCTGCTGCTGCTGTTTCTACTGCTGCCGTCACTGCCTCTGCTGTTGCTGCTGCTGCTGCTGCTGCACACTCTTCATACGCAACACAATGCACAGATGTCTTTCTGGTATGCTGAGATGGTGGTTCTGTTTGGCGGGAATCTCTGCCCTTTCGGGACTCACTTTCTGTTTTCTATCTTTCACCTCTCCGTAGATCTAGTCTTGCCATGGAGAAGCCCATTTACAGGGTGACCTCTAACCCGGATCGCCGCCTTGCTGTGGTGCAACTCAACGATGGTACAGTGTGGAAGGTGCTGGTTGGCGGTGATGGCGGTGACGACGGTCTTGCTCTGGAAGCCTGGCCCGCGACTACCCCCGGTGGTGTGGACACTGCTCCACCGCTGACGCTGAGCCCGTACGGGTACGGCAGCGACAACAACATTGATGTCCCGAGCGGCCTGCAGCTGAGCGTTCCGTGCTCCTCTTTTGGTCTGTGTGTGATGGGTGATGAGGTTAGTACTGGTATTATACGTTCTTTGCATTACATGAACATCATCCATGGACACCTGGATCTATGTACAGTTGAAGAGCCGAGATGCAGAACCCGCTAAATCCATTTCATCACTTTTCAGGTAATGGCCTAGAAAAGTTCATTTTATGTGCAGTTGGTATCTAAATCCAAATTTGGGTTCCAGTTTTGAAATATTTCTAGTGTAAGTCAGATTTTGAATATGAAATTTTGCCTGGTGGTGCCTCTCGACCTTTTGATTACACTGAGCTGAAAATCTCACTTTCTCAAATTTGGCGTTTATCGGGCTTTGCATCTCAGCTCTTCAGTTGTTTGGCAGTCAAGGAAACTAAACGGCGTTAA